TGCCGTATGAGTATACGTTGCCCAGGGTGCACCACGTGGGTACATTTATAGCAGTTAATTAAAAGCAGTTCATAGCTGTCTTCTTGCTTCCCAGTATCTCTGGGTTTCCGTCGTTGTCTTTAGAGCTGGACACCGAATCAGGTGGGTCTTCTCCATTTTCTCCTGTAAGTTACATAGGGGGCATGTGGGTTGAGGGCATACTTTCAAGAACTATATATATAATAATATAGGAATGCTTTAGTAATGACTCAATCAAAAATAGATGCTGAAAGATGTAAAAGCGCATACTTTATTACCCATTAGCATTTTAATTTAATTGTAAATTTTTTTCGAGAATTTTTGTGTAACTTAGGTGATTGCATAACCAAAGACTTAAAATTACATCCATATGTGCAGTAATGGGAAACGATTAATTAACTTACCTCTCACTGAATTGCTTAAATCAATATGGTATTTTGATGTATTCTGTGTAAGCTTTAGTATCTGAGTTGACACTTTTGAAATGGGGCAATAAAATGAAATAGATCAATAAATCGATATAATCTACTTAACAGTTAACTTTCCAGAATAAACATTTATCCTTAATAAGAAGATAATTATTCCAAATATTGACATTTCTGTTTATATGTACAGTTTGATTTACAATGAGCATATTGCTTTACCTTATCATTACTTGTAAAATAATTAGCAAATTTTCAGTACATATTAATCGATTTTTAACCACGATGATCGATTTTGGCGCTACAAATCATTTTTCATTTTTCTGGTTGAGAAGACAAAATGTGATTGTACACATGACGGGCCACACCTTTCGGTCTTTATCTTGCAGATACGAAATTGCTTGCTCAGAAACTAAGACAAATTTCCTATTGTTTTTTTTGCCTACCCATCAATTTATCTCCATTTTCGATCTCTTCAGTTTTATCCCGAGTCAATCACATCCATTAACAGATTCGTTATTTTTTACTAATGACCCAATTATTACAATCAAGTGCACAGTAATTTAATTGCTTTATAAGTGCCCTGACAATATAGTAACTATCTGGTTGCTCTTTTGCAGCCGTGTGCCGGTAAGGGATAATGAAATAGCGCCAATTTGAATATTTTGACAGATTTAAGGTTTTTAAATTAAATTCACAATCACAAATGATTTGAGTATAAATTTGTATTAGGTTGCGTGAAATGAAACTGGTAATCGATAGTTCAAATGTAGGTGGACAGTATTTATAATGAAAGAGCAAAAGTTATTTGAAAAACTGTTATTTTTTCTATATTTCTAAACGCTAAGATGATTTAAATAAAATTTTTAGAAGAAATTTGGCGGATTCTTTTGAAATCAAGAGGGATTTAATAAATGAAAATGAATACGACCTTCAGAATGGAAGAGAACAATTGATACAGGCTAAATTAATCAAAATCAATAAAATGGAATTATTTAATTTCATTTAATACACTAAAAGATTAAAGCGTCTTTTTATCATTTGTCTAATTCGTCTTATTGAATGAATGGATTAGTAAATGCAATTTTATATTCCTATTCAAAATTTGTTATTGAATTATTTCAGCAGATGAAACGAACTTTTTTACTTTAACATCTCTTTACTACTGATTGCTTAATTAATTAATCAATTAATTTTATTTTGATCGAGTTGTATAAATTTCAACTTCATCATATTATATTTATCAGCTTGAATTTGCGATTGTTTAATTTACGTACAGATACAAAGGTCAGCAAAAGCGTGCAGACATGATAATGGGAATAGGAAAATCAAAATTAAAAATGACGTTTATTTTTTTAATGTCAGCTGATGTTATCTTTTTAACAACAAATTTTTAAAATTCTCGTTAAGACTAAAGCAAAAATTGGACTCTATGCAATAAGTGTGCATATTATTAAAAGGACTTACAAAATTGCAAGCCTGTACAATTTTAAATTGTGGAAAGTATCAAAACTCGATTAAAAAACCCATAAATCCTACGAGGGGGTGGGGTGGGTACGGAAAGATCTTGAGATCACCATCAAAAGTATTAAGGTATCTCTCTATCCACTTGATTACCGAATTCGGATTAAACAATGCTGACTAATTAAGTGGCTCACATTACGAAAAAAATAAATTCCATAAATAAATTCATTTCATTTCACCAATTGAGAAGGCGAGTCGATTTTGGATAATATTTTGCTACCTGAAGTCGTAACATCTCAATGATAAGAAATTAAAATTAATTGTTTTTAATTGTATCTTCAATTATGGCTTAGACTATGCCTAGCTGTTAAAATGAAATTAATGGTCCGGCTTCCAGAAATCTTTTGATAAAATACGTCTGTGCGTTTCTTTTGAATCCTATCTAGATTTTCATCCAAATTCCTGAATAATTAAGTAAATGTGCTTTAGTGAGAAAACACTTTATCATTGCAATCGGTTTTTTAACAACCAATTTCTGAATTAAGAACTTGCGTTTGTTTTAATGGAATTAAAATTCCATTCGAAGTTTTATTGGCAAATCGATTCATGCATTTTGTTGGTGGGCTCTGCAAAACTTCGGATGTTTTCACGAAAGCTGAAAAGTGCTATCCCATAATGGAAAAATGGGTAAATTTTGAAAAATTATACTCTGGACAACAATTTTATGACCAGTAAAATAGCATACGCACTCACACACACATATATATTTGCTCAAGATGAAATATATAAAGTAGTTTTCTACAGTGATGCTTCTATTTGATTGAATAGGCTTTCTCAAAGGCAATTTCTAGTCTTACTATCTAACCTGAAAGATTATTGATTTTCATTTACTAATACCAATTATTTGATTACAACCCTTTCAGAAAGGTTAGTGTTCAGTTTAGATATCGAGATTATTTTTGAAGTACAAGTTTAGAGATAAAACAACTTTTCCATGCCAACGAGCATTCTCTCTCTCGTGGCACGGCTTTTTGAACGCAAGAGACGAGGTGGGTGCATAAATGACCTTTTATCTGGGGAGACAGTATGGAAGCAAAGGACATACGCTGTTCCTCTTCAGGCTTGACAACAGTGAGAGTTTAGTGCCTTGCGAGAAAAAAAGGATTATTCAAAATCTAATGAAAGTTGGTTTGCTTTGAGTCTGGGGGCTGGTGAGAAAGTTTGTTGCTATCGCCGTTAAATATTTAATAAGAAATGGGAAAATTTACCGGGAAAAATGATCGCGATAAGTGGGCAAACCACCTCAGAGATGGTGAACTCTTAACATTTGCGTTTCAATTTCATAAATTATGTTATACCCGTTATATTAAATAAATTGTCAAATTATTTAAATTCAATTGAAATCGCTCTTTGTCCTTTTTCGCGCGAAAAAAAGCATAAAGTAGTTCCATCATTAAAAGGAACACACTTTTTCCCACAGCAAGATGCGAAAAAAGCTCAACTGGTGAAAATTTTTTTGAATGCGCGCAAATGACTTGAAGAATTTCCCCCTTCTCTTCTGTTTCAGATCGACAAAGATCAGCTGGAACAAATTATTGTAGTCTCCTTATAACAGCTCTAATGTATCTTATCGTGGCCTGCACATTTCCCTTCTCGCTGCCCTTCTGCATAAAGGTGAGCCCTCATTTCATGCCTGCTACATCTCCAACTTTGAAAATAAAACCATAATTCGCCTTGACAAGCAAATAAAAAAGCACTTCCAATCTACTATTTATCGTTTTGTAGCAATTTATGTCATTTTTTGCCTCTGGCTGTCTAGGTAATAGCAGAGTACGAAAGAGCAGTCATCTTTCGACTAGGCCGAATACGACCCGATGGAGCAAAGGGACCCGGTCTCTTCTTTATTCTTCCTTGTCTTGATAGTCTTCGCAAAGTGGACCTCCGTACTGTCACATTTGATGTCCCGCCACAAGAGGTAAAGTTAATTGGGAGACATATTTATTTATAGCAAATTGCAGGCGTTTTGATAGTTATCATTAGCCCTGGAGCTGCCTTCGGGGTTTTGATAGTTATCATTAGCCCTGGAGCTGCCTTCGGGGCTTCACAGAGAGGAGAAGAAACATCGAAGTGACAAAAAGTCAAGAGGGGGGGACAGAAGAGTGATTCACAGATGTAAAAGAGACAGACAGTTGACACAAAGTTATAAAAAAGGTAAGATGAGTACTGTGAAAGGGGGCGAATTTCGACAGGGGAAATGAAGAGCGATTCACAGATGTAAAAGAGACAGACAGACAGACCATAAAAAAGTAAGATGGGTACTTTGGAAGGGGTCGAATATGACAAATAGTTGGGACATAGTAGTTTGAAGTCAGAAGTCAACTGCCCATCAATAGACTTTTTTGCCGTATAAGTATACGTTGTCCAGGGTGCACCACGTGGAGGTAAGTCTAATATACGTTGTCCAGGGTGCACCACGTGGAGGTAAGTCTATTGCGCACCCTCAATTTGGAGACATTAAAATGCAGAAACAATAGAGGGAGTTGAGTTCAGTTGGTATTGAAGGCTGAAGTATAACCAAACCACTTACTCATGCCCGTTTATAGTGCTTGCACTCAGACCCAAAGTGCAAAAAGAGATTTCAAAGAGTAAAAGAGGAGAAGGGCTGTCGGTGATAAAGAATTCAACAGTCTTTAATCCTCTTTGATGACACTCCCACAAGACGAGGCACCCAATACAATACAAAGGAAAATCGGTTAAATTGCAACATTTGTTAATAGCAACCCCCTTCCATAATAATGCGAGTGCAGCATTAATTTAAACAAGCGAAAAATCCGCTTTTTGTTTATGTAGAGGCAAAATATGACTACCACATATGTTTATAATTAAATTTTATTTATAAACTTGCAACCTTTTATTCTTGTTTGGAAGCAAGATTGTGTCTATAGTTACTTATCTTTCAAAGTTTAATTTAATTTCATAAATCTAAACGTTGGGAGGGTGTCTAATTTTCCATTGGAAATTATAACTGGCTTCCAACTGAATGCTCCAACTTCAATTTTGAAGTTATTGACTCGAGACGGGGTGAATGTAAAATTGTTGGAGGGTTTGCTGAGACATGCCCTTCGCTTTCCCTTCCAATTTACCACTTAGACATCGAGAATAAACTGGAAGATTTTGGGCGGTCAGACGACATTGACCCCGTGAGTTAACAGAACAGAAATTTTTGTATCTGAGTTAATTCCAGTTTACGTGAACTCCGGGCATGTTTAGTTGTTTGGTTGTGTCGGTTGCAGAATAACGTGGAAATCTTTTTTTGTTGCTTTTGAAACTCGTTTTCCTTTGAATAATAATAATGGGGAGGGGTACATTAGGACTGAATTTCATTGGTCCATTTTACTGGCAGATGTTTGCATTCAGTTTGCAATGAGACAGCTCTTCGAATCCTTTTCTTTGTAGACAGAATGTTCAACATTACGTATGGCCAATACATTTAATTTTCTTACTAATAGAACGTGTCGGACACAATATGCTTCTTTTCTTTCGCCAATACTAAATTTTATGACCAGGCGTTTACGATCAACCGATGTATACTTTAGTTTAAAAGACTTGATTTGAACGATGGAGTTTCAAATGGTGTGCTGCAAATGAGAATGAAGTATAAATATCGATGATTGCTTACTGAAATTCGTGGTTACTTCAGATCCTCGATTAAGTATGGCAGAACTGTCGTGGAAACTTACATCCAAAAGAGATAAATGTGCAGGTACATTTAGAGAGAGAGAGAAGGAGAGAGCGTGGGTAAATTGAATGGAGTGGGAATTCGGGTTCCGCCATACCGACTTTTCTTGCATAGCAAAGCTGAGTGAAGAATAACGTCCTTTTAACACCCAATTTTTATTGGGTGTTGAGAAGTGGATCGCGTAAGACGACGATGTTGGTGGAAAAAATAACCATTGATTGTCTCCTAATCAGGTCACTGGGCAAATCATAATCCAAAATTGACCTTTCGTCAACTTATTGTACACACGCACACACTAGCTAAGTAGGTAGCGGATTAATTTAGTAGGAATTGCTCACATTAGGAGGAAAAGTTGTATTACCCAGTTCATTATTATTAACAATTGGGAGGACTTAAGGGCTAAATTTATTGAAAAGTAACATGAAAATTCTCCAGCAGAACAATACCCAACCTCAAAAAATGGTTAATTTGGCTAACATTCTACTCCATTACTTATTTTTTCAGGTCCAAAGAGCATACTCCTAAAGGAAAATGACCTTGAAATATGACTTAGGTTTTGAATAACTCGAAAGCATATTTTAACTCAAAACAGCAAATTTTGTTGCATAATCAATATCCAAAAAATTATGAGCAATGGGAAAGAGTTGTAAACGATGTGGAAAATTATATATTATTCAATGTCATAAACTTAAACTCTTTAAATATTTATTTATTTCAAATGGCAGATGATTTGATAGTATCATTAGCCCTTAGATGACTTAGAACTTCACAGAGGGGAGAAACATCAAAGTGAGAAAAATTCAAGAGGGGACGGAAGAGTGATTTGTAGACCTAAAAGAGACAGACACAATGATAGAGAGTAGGTTAAGGTGAGTACTGTGAAGTGGTCGACCATGACATTCAGTGAGGTCATGGTAGTTAGAAGTCAGAATCCAGCTGCCGGTTAATAGACCTTTTTAGCGGTATGAGTATACGTTGCCCAGGGTGCACCACGTGGAAATAAGTCTATCGCACACCCCAAACTCTAAATAAATATCATCTTAATGTTATCCTTGAACCGATCTATTTCCTTTTCGTAAAGTCGTAATATTAGGTGACTCAGCATTAGCAATGATGGCACTTTGAAGAGAATTTACATAGAGATAACAGAAGGTCGAAGAATCCACATACAAACACACACACAGAGAGAAAAGTTTGTTGAAGGAGCAGAATATTATAAATACTGATCCTGCTCATAGGTAGGAAGGACACTCAAAATTGTCCCTTAACTGCAGGTGTTGACAAAGGACTCCGTAACAGTGGCAGTTGATGCTGTGGTCTACTACCGCATATATAACCCCATAGTCGCTGTGACCAATGTTGAAGACGCCGATCGATCGACCCGCCTCTTAGCAGCCACAACTCTTCGCAACGTTCTTGGCACCAAATCACTCTCAGAAATCCTCTCTGAACGTGAAGCCATCTCTTCCTCTATGCAGGTTAGTGAATTGGTTCCCTGAATTGAATACTATTGAATTGAATAAGTTGTTTGACTAAAATATTAGCTGTTAGCTTTTACTTTTTTTAGTTTCTCTATACAATACTTTGTTCAGTGGAACAGGAAATTAAAAGTTATATTTTACCCTTTTTACCCCACTTTTTTTAGACAATGCTAGACGATGCGACTCAACCATGGGGCGTAAAGGTGGAACGTGTTGAAGTGTGAGTCGCATTCTTTGCAATTTTCAATAGTCACATTTTGTTGTCTTGTTTCAACGTTTGCTTTGTTTGCAAATATTTCAATGAGCACACATACAACTTGACCAATTTTTATTGGCCGTTTTAGGAAAGTGGTTACAATGGCTTATCTGGGGGTTGGGGGTTGGGGGTTGG